CCATTCGAGCCATGACCAGCGATGATGTCAACCGCACCACCAGTGCCGCTTGCAGAGCCGCCAGACACAAGTCGACATGGGGCGCCACTAGTCCAGTCACTGAAACCCGCCGCCAACTCGATGTGTCCAGCAGAAGCGCCGGGACTAGTACTCATGCATATGGCGCCTGAATCACCTTGAGAACGGCCAGTCGAAATTTCAACGTCCCCCGACGTCGAAGCGCCAACTCCACTCGTGACAAAGACACTACCCATCCCCCCACTAGACACGCACATTTCGCCGCCACCATCACTGCCACGTCCACCCACTAAGGATATACCTCCACCGCTCGCGTTGCCGTCACCTGCAGCGAGCTCCACGCACCCACCCGTTCCTTGATTCGAGCTACCAGAAGACAAAATTAGGTCCCCCGACTTCAGACCAGAGCTCGCCCCCACACACACTTCTACACCTCCAGCCTCGCCCGCCGACCCCGTCTCAACCTTGATACTACCGGTCGAAGTCTGTCCGGACCCAGATGAAATCTTCACATCGCCACTACCACCTTCTTCAGTTGCCATCGATCCAAAGCTCGCCGACCCACCCATGCCTGATGCGCTAGCGCCCGAGGCGATCTGCACATCACCACCGTCGCCGTCTTCGCTTGACCCCGCCTTGAGCAGCACGTCGCCACCGACACCCCCCGAGCCACCTTGAAGCCGCACTCCGCCACTCGACCCCTCAGATGCGCCTCCGTTCAGTATGATACCCCCCGATGATTCCGATCCGAGGCCTGCTCGCACCGTGACGTCCCCGCCAGCATCGCCTTCGCCAGACACGACCATCACTTGGCCGCCTCCAGTGCCCCCACTGCCGGCGGAGACAGAAAGATCACCACCAGGGCCTTCACTCGACGACCCAACCGAGACATCAATGGAGCCACTCCCAACCTCGGAGTCGCCCGTGCTGATGGCCACGCCTCCTGACACGCTGCCGGCTCCGGTTGCCAGCGAGATCCCACCACTCGGTCCAGAAGCCGAGGCGCTCGCTAAGGAAACATCGCCGCTGGTAGCGCCCCCCGAGCCACTGCTGACCATCACCGCCCCTCCAGGACCAGCGCCGCCGGACCCAGCCGCCATCGTAATCTCACCCCCGCATGATCCGCCGCCTCCGGCGATGTGCGCGCTTCCGCCACAGCCTGATGTTGACGCGCCAGCCTGAATAGAAATTGTCGAGCCATCGCCACTACCGCTCGCACCGACTGTGAAGCCCACGTCGCCAGCTTTACCACCAGGCGAATCGCCACTCTCAATGGTGATCGACCCGCTCGAACCACAAGAGGCGACCGCCCCCCCCGTTCCAAGTCTAACATCACCGCCGCCCGTCACACCCGCTCCAGAGTTGACAAATATAGCGCCACCCATATCGGACTCACTCTCGCCCCCGGAGATCTGCACCTCTCCACCATTGCCGGTGACACCATCAGCACCACGCAGAAGAACACCGCCACCGCTCTCGCCAGATCCACTAGCTATGTCCATGCTGCCACCAATACCCTCGGTAGACGTGCCAGCCGCGATCCTAACACGACCACCTCCTTCTTTTCCCCCATCGCCACCGTGTAGCTCGAGGGCACCGCCAACGTCGCCCTCTCCAGATGCGAGTACCGCAGAGCCGCCTGGGCCGTCCCCATCATTCGCCGTGCCTGCTTGTAGTGACAGCTGACCGCCAGATCCTAGATTACTGTTGCCCGCAGATATTTCGACCGCACCGCTGCCACTTTCGGCGTCGCCAGTCGAGATACTTATTCCGCCGGACGCCCCCGTCGTCGCAAGACCGGTCAAGATCTCAACGCCGCCAGTTTGCGCCGCACTGTCTGCGCTGGCAATAGATATGCTTCCACCATTTCCACCGAGAAGTTCCACATCCCCGCCTTCATCAGAACCGCCAAATCCAGCAGTGAGAGATACGCAACCGCCCTCGGCACCATCGCCGGCTCCGATATCCACACCGCCGCCGACACCATCTGCTGAGCCTCCAGCTGCGAGATCAATGCTTCCAGCGCCCCCGCTAGAGCTCGAGCCAATCTCGATCATCACGTTTCCTGCCCTATCCGCCGTGCCCGTTTTCATGCGGATCTCGCCACTTGCAGTCCCACTGTCGCCGGAGGTGATCGCCACATCACCACTTTGGCCCTTGGCAGTTGAAGTCCCAAACGTAGCTGATCCGCCGGCTCTGGCAGCGATCGATACGCTACCGCCAAGTCCACCCGTCGCAGCACCCGCACTGCCACCACCTTCAAGCACCAGGTCACCACCGGTGCCTCCTGCTCCCGCCTGGAACGCCACGGAACCCCCAGAGTCGGATGACCCGGATGAGTCACCGGCGATCAAGGAGACATCGCCGCCAGAGATGGTTCCAGATCCACTTTGAAGTGTGATCTGGCCGCCGCAGTCGCCGCAACCCGAAGAAACTTGCACGCTGCCGCCCTCCGTCGATCCGCCCCCCGCCGATGCAATTAAGTCACCGCCCGCCCCGCCGCTCGACGCACCAACAGAAATATCGATGGAGCCGCTATCGCTCTCCGAGTCACCTGTACCAATCGTAATGCCACCAGAAACGGTGCCAGCTCCGCTGGCGATCGTAACGGAGCCACTCGAGCCGGAAGTCCGCGCCGTCTCCAAAGTCACACACCCACTACTCGTGGCGCCAGACCCACCGCTCAGCGCGAGGGAGCCTCCTGATCCAGAAGTGCCACAACCCGCCGTCAAACCAACTTCACCACCAGAGAGCCCGTTGCCTGCTTCAAAAGTAGCACTCCCTCCGATTCCGGAGGGAGCCGCCCCCGCCTGTAAAGCTATCGACGCACCAGCCCCTACGCCGCTCCCGCCGGCTACGAAACTTACATCGCCGGCAATACCATCGGGCGCATCTCCACTTTCGATCCTGATGGCACCACTAGACGCGGCTGAGCTACCGCTTGAAAGTCGGATCTCGCCACCCGCGGTCGACCCAGACCCAGACACGAGTTCGACATTGCCGCCGGCCCCCGTCCCACTGCCACCGCTTCCAATCATCATACCACCACCGGGACCCTCGGTTCCATCGGCCGCAGACAGAGTTACGCTGCCACCGTTTTTGCCGGCTCCCGCAAGAATCGCCACGCTACCCCCAGCATCAGACAAAGACACACCGGCGCCGATCTGAACGTCTCCACCTCCACCAGTGCCTCCGTCCCCAGCGCTCAGACTAAGCCCCCCGCCAATGTCACCAGACCCAGCGGAGAGGCTCGTGGATCCGCCATAACCACCATGTGTCTCGGATGAATCACCACCGTTAAGGCAAAGGTCACCACTACTCCCCGCCAAGCTACGACCCGCACTGATGCTGACGGAGCCACTGTCTTGATTCGCATCGCCAGTCGAGATCATGAGCCCGCCCGATTCATACTCACCACTACGACCACTACAGACCTCGACGTCCCCCGACGTCGAAGCGCCAACTCCACTCGTGACAAAGACACTACCCATCCCCCCACTAGACACGCACATTTCGCCGCCACCATCACTGCCACGTCCACCCACTAAGGATATACCTCCACCGCTCGCGTTGCCGTCACCTGCAGCGAGCTCCACGCACCCACCCGTTCCTTGATTCGAGCTACCAGAAGACAAAATTAGGTCCCCCGACTTCAGACCAGAGCTCGCCCCCACACACACTTCTACACCTCCA